CCTTATGAGGGTCGGCGGATTCCTAACGATTTCATTCCATCTGTGTCCGTTAAATGTGGTTCTTCCGTTCCTTTTAGATGTGGGTCAGGGGGAGTTGCTCCGGGGCCCTGGGAGGGTCGGGAGGAGAACCTGGGGCTCAGTGCAGCAGCTTGGCGGCGGCCAGGGTGTGCGCTTGGACCTTGGTTGGTGCAGGTGAACTTCAAAGCCAGCTAAGGAGCTTCAGTAGCATAAAGAACACGTTCCCCTCCCCGGTCCCCCAGTGCCATCGCTCTGAAAGTGGCCTGATGCTCTGCTGTCTGCCCTTCTCTCCCTGATGTTACATTTGAGTGAAAAGTCTACATTACCCCCAAACGTAGAAGCGGCAGCCGTCAAACAGGCCCGGGCAGGTCTGTGAGAGGAAAACCAGGCTACACTGGCACTGATAAGCCCGGGGTGGCGGTGGGTGTCATGGGAGTGCGGAGTTGTGGTCAGTAGTTTAAAGTGCTTTTCGGAGGAGGGGACTCATGGAGCAGGATCAGTTTGTGAAGCCGGTTGCCGAGAGCAGGTGTATGGGGGATGGCAGTTCAGGACAGAGACCCAGCGTTGGGGCCAGCCCCAGTCAGAGGTGATAGGCTCAGTTTGCAGCTGTGACTCGCAGGGACAGAAAGCGGTGTGTGGGGACGGGGAGGAGTGCCGGGCAGCCGTGAGTGGGTAGAGGGTCCCAGGGCTTCAGGGCGGGAGCGCAGGGCCCATGCGGTCCCGGCGGCCAGACAGCTGCTTTCTGGTTGGAGGGGAGGACCGCAGAGCACGGAGAGGCCGGGAAGGGCACTTGGAAAGGAGCCCGGGCTGTAGTGACTGCCACGCAGCTCCCCTGGCGACGCACAGCCTCGGTCTTGCCCGTAGCCAGGGCCCCCGCCGGCTCTCGCAGGAGCTGTCCGGGATGCGCCTGTGCGAAGGTCCGGCTTGGACCGTAATTCGTTGTCCCCGCGGGTGTCCTGGTCAGTAAATACTCCTGATTGTTTTTCCTAAGAACATCAGTTTGGACTTATTAAAACTCAGAGTGCTGTTGACAGCAGCACTGATTCTCCCTGGCTAAGTCTGTGCCACTTAGCTCCGGTCCTTGGAACGGAGATGACCTGGCAGTGGAAAATTCCCTCCTGCGGCCAGAAAGGCGGCCTGCGAATGCTCAACTCGCACTTCCAGTCCTGGCCCCAAGGCCTCTGGTCTGGGACCAGAGCTCGTAACGTGCGTGTGCCTCGTCCTGGCCTCACGAGTGTCTCCATCTCCAGAGGAGAGGGGCATTGCCCTGGCGGGGATCCTGTCCCCACTGGGCAGTGTCACTGGGATTGGGCGAGAGTCTTAGAGGAGACTAGCTCACCTCGTGGTCATTGAGCCCAGAGATCTAGTCCCCTCGAGGACATCCCAGTGGCCCCCAGTGTGACCTGACCCCTATCCAGGGCTGGCCTTCTGCGTCCTGTCCCCTCCCCAGGGCTGCCAGCCTCACCTCATCCCCAGGGGACGCTGGTGGGTGTGGCCCCAGGCTGAGAGGGAATGTGCGTGCTCTTTCAGGAGCCTGTGACCTTCCGGGACGTGGCTGTGGACTTCACGCAGGAGGAGTGGGGGCAGCTGGGCCCCGCCCAGAGGACGCTGTACCGGGACGTGATGCTGGAGACCTTCGGGCACCTGCTGTCTGTGGGTAAGGCCCTCTTCCCAAGCCAACAGTCAGATTCCTGCAGTGACTCACTCTTCACGGTTGTCGGCTATGGGGTCTCTGGTATGAAGACTGGCCCCCAGGCTGGGGACCAGGAACCTTGGGTTCTCCTTCCCTGTGGGACATGCAGGCGGGGGGTGGGGGCTGCCCCTCTCCGTCCCATCTCAAAGCCTTCACTTGTTGTGAGGTGTCCCCATGTCCTGACGGTCGGGGATCAGGGCGGGGGCCTGGGCAGTTCTCTGCGGAGCAGCCTGCCGCATCCTGTGTCTTTCCCATTTCCAGGACCTGAGCTTCCCAAACCCGAAGTCATCTCCCAGCTGGAGCAAGGGGCTGAGCTGTGGGTGGCGGAGAGAGGGATCGCCCGGGGCAGCCGTGCAGGTGAGAAGTGGGAACCGCTCCTGGGAGCGGCCCGGGAGGGGGTACAGGTGCGCTGCTCGGAAAGGGCAGTGTGTCTGGGTCCTGGGGACCACCTGCAGATCCCCTGACCACTGGGCAGAGTCAGCAGAGGGGAGAGGTGATGGGACGAAGTCCAGAGAAAGCCAACTCGAGGTCGCAGAGTCCCGTCCCAGCGGGGCTAGGTTTGCGGTAAGTTGTCACGGCCCAGAGAAGACGAAGGCACCTTCACTTGAGCGTGCCGGGCCGAGGATGGGGGCAGGGGTGTCTCTTTAAAAAAAGAAGGAAATAGATTATTTTTATGTAGGTAATGTATTCACATGGTTGAAAACCCGAAAGCTGTATGACACAGGTAAGCTGAAGAAGCCTCGTTAGTGCGCTCCCCGCTTATCCACACACGCACACACGTGCACACACGCGTGCACACACACACACATTCGCAACCATTTATTTTACTGTAAATCTTTAAATTCTTTTATTAGTGGTTGCTCTGCAGATTATAAGTAACATTTTAATTTATAAGAACGTAGTTTGGATGAATATCAGTTTAATTTTGATGGTGTTCAGAAACTTTGCTTCTATGTAGCTCTTTCCTCCCTCCCCCTTTTATGCTATTATTTTCACAAATTATGCATCGTGCGTTCCTCACCACATATTTATAAATTGCTTTATATCGTTGTCTTTTCAAAATGCGTTCACGGTCCCGTATCTACCTGTGTGATTATCTTTCTTGGTGTTCTGTTGCGTTATTGTCTAGTGTACTTTCATTTCATCCTGAAGGACTCCCTTTCGCATTTCTTCTAGGGCAGGTTTGCTAGCTGCAAACTCTCTCAGGTTTTCTTTATCTGGGAATGTCTCGATTTCTCCATTTTTGAAGGATCGTTTCGCCAGCTGCAGAATTCGTGGTAGACAGTTTTTCTTTCTGGCCTCGGTGGTATCCGATGAGAAATCTGCCGTTAGTCGTTTTCCGACGACTCCTGGTCTGTGACGAGTTGCTTCCCTCTTGCTCCTTTGAGGATTCTTGCTTTGACTTTGGCTTTTGGCAGTGTCATTGCGATGTGTCTGCCTGTGGCCTTCTAGGGTCCCAGGATATGTTAAGGTCCCTCCTTGGCTTTTCCTTCATCTTTTTGGTTTGTGTATTGTTCGCCCCAACCATTCCCTGTCGTCTCAGACAGTAGTGGCTTTGAGACATCTCCTGAGAACGTTCGACAGATGCCTGCTCCCTAGGAGCCTTTAGCGCTGTGCGGGTTCCCCGTAGGCTTTTTGCGCGGGGTCCTCCAGAGGACCGCCAGACGGGTCAGGCGGTGACTGGTTTGGGGAACGAGGCTTTGGAAAAGCTCCAATTTGTTCTGCTCCCTCTAGTCCTGGAAACACGGGCTGTGATTTCCCAAGGCGACCGCTGAGTCAGGGAGCTAGAGAGAGGACTAGGGTACGTGAAAATGACATAAAGCTCACGATTATTGTTGCAGTTCAGCCGTTTTTCTCGAAGGAACTGTCCTTGGGTTGTTGCAAGGCTTTGGTCAACTCACAGAATTCTGAAGAAATGGACTCTGCCAGTTTCCGACAGCTTTTTGGTTGCTTTCGTGGAGGGGCGAAATTTCCGAGGTCCTCGTTTTGCCCCTTTCGCTGACACCCTGTCCCAGGTGATCACTCCCAGTATTGCCGCTCTGTGTTCCCAGGGTGACTGCAGCTACAGGCACGTAGGGATACGTAGCTAGGCGTCACCTCTCCAGATCTAGAGTAAGACACACACTGTTCTGTGTCTTGCTGTTTTTCATTTAACAGCGCACCGCGCCGCTTCTGCTGTCCTCCTGCGGGGGGCGTCTTCCCATCTGCTGCAGGGAGTGGGCGTCTGCGGAGTCTCACGAGCTGCCCCTCATTCAGATCTGAAGCCTTCTAAACCTTCTGCCTCTCCTGCCCTCAGTGCTGACCGTTCTTTAAAAAAAAAAAAAAAAAACCTACAGCGCCTGCTCTTCCTAGGCGGTCTCCCATCCAAGTACTAACCATGCCCGACCCTGCTTAGCTTCCGGGATCAGGTGTGTTCAGGGTGGCACGGCCATAGTAGTTTTTGTTGTTGTTGTTGTTGTTGTTTTTGAGCCACCATCCCAAGGCCTGTGGTTCCACCACCTCTGTCCTTACATTTCCACCATTTTGCGAATCCTCTCAGCCGGCTCCTTGGTCTCAGTACAGCCAGGAATCCCATCTCCTGCTTCTAGATTATGCTCTCCGTCTTCCTGATGCGCATCCCTGGTACTAGCCTTCGGCGAGTCCCTTACGCTGGAAATGGACAGGTCACCCCGACCTCCCGCTCTTTCCTCTCCAAGAAGTAGTCTCTCTTCTGACTCCTGAGATTTTCGTCCTCCGACATGTCAGCTGTGTCATTAAGCTTCCACCCCCTTCGCCCTCGGGTCGCTTCCTCATAAAATTGCAGCTTGAGTTGATGAGGACCTTCCTCCTGGTCATTAGGCACGGCAGGTGTTGTTTCTGGGTTTGTGGCCCCGAAGCCTTCCATCATGCGGTCGGTAAACCACAGTGATTCGAGCTGTCTTTTTAGTAACTGAGCAGATCACGACCTTCCAGTTTTTTCTGTTATCTTTCTCGTTTCCTGACCGGTTCCAGCAGCTGAGTCGGCTGGCTCCTCAGTGTCTTGCTCACGAGTGAGTCACACACGCAGCTCAGCGCATGCCGTACGCTGAGCCGGGCTCTCGGCGTGCCCAGGGCCGCAGACTCGCAGCGCTTCCCCGTGCGTGGTTCGCAGCTCATCGGTGAGGCCCGTCACCACACAGATCCTAACCGGGTGGAGGAGACTGTACTTCCTTGTCGTCTCTCTGGTTCTGGACCCCCAGGCCACACTGCTGGGCGTCCCGTTGGTCAGTGAGTTGGGCAGCTGCCCTTTTCAGGAGTTCCTCCCGGAGAGATTCAAAACCTGTGTGAAGATTATTTCCTAACTTCTGGGAGCTAAGCTTGAAAGTGGTAAAAATGCCGGTTCTTGAGCAGAGTAGAGCCGCTCTCTTGATGGACCGGGGTGATGAAAGGGGGAAATGGTTTGCGGTGAGGAGAGAAGAGGGAAACCCTAGAGAAAGAACGTGGGGTCTGGGTGCCGTGTACCTGCAGCTTGAGACCCCGCGGGAGGCTGAACGATGCCCCTCCCCCCAGCAAGACATGTCCGTGTCCTGTGCCTGTGGATGTGGTACCTCATGTGGCACAGGGGCTTTGCAGCTTGAGATGGAGATTATCTCGGATCATCTGGGTGGGCCCCTGGTAAGTTCGTGGTGCTTGTAAGAGTGAAGTGGGGGTGTCACATACAGCGAGGAGATGCGATTGACGGAAGCAGAGGCTGGAGGAAGGACCCACAAGCCAAGGAACGCAGGTGGCTCCTAAAAGTAGGAAAAGGCGAGGACATGGATTCTCACCTGGAGCTTCAGAAGAGAAGCTACTTTGATTTTAGCCCAATGAAAGCCATTTCGGATTTTAACTTCCAGACTATAAAATCATGAGTTTGTGTCATTTTAAGCCACTACCTGACGTGCGTGGTAGTTTGTTGCAGCAGCCAGAGGAAACTAATGCAGACCCTTCCGTGGCTGGGGGACTGATACTAAGCAGTGGTGTCAGGCGGCTTCATTGACTGAATTTCCCGGACATTTCGCTGGATTCTCAATCTCATTTAATCATCAGAAAAGTCCTCTAAGAAGAGCGGCAGTACCAGTATTTAAGTACAGATTATCAGACTATAACTTGTGTATCTGTCTCGTCACAGTATTCTGCCTTTCAAGTCTGTCTCTCGTGTCGCTGATCCACAAATGATTCTGTAGTCATTAGAATTGTAAACTCTAGGAGTGTCCTTAAAGCATGTGATTTTTGCCTTTCGAATTTTGTGTTATTGACTGAACTCTGTGGAGTAGGAAGTAATGCGATAGCGTATTAACACAGAAACTTCCTGCTTGAAGCATTTGTTGGTGAAACTTTCTCTTAATGCCACCCCCTCCTATTTTGGCAGGTGTCAAAATAGGGCAGCAGCCAGGGCATTATAAGACATAAATGAATTAAGACACTTAATAATTTAAACATTAATCGCTAAGGACCTGATTGCTCATCAATCTTTTGTTAGGCCAATCATTTCTTATTTTTTCACCTTAATAGTATTCACTGTGTCCTTTCGTCAAGGACCCCTCAGCCGACCCCCAGGTTCACTGATTCACTAGAAGGACTCACAGGATCAAAAGTCACTATCCTCAGGGTACCGCTTTGTAACAGTGAAAGGATACTAAGCGACAGCAGCAGAGGGAAAAGACTCGAGGTGCTAAGTCTGGAGAAAACCAAGTGCAGGCTTTCAGTAGTCCTCTACCAGTGCAGTTGCAAAGGACACACTTAATTCCTTCAGCATCAAGTTGTGACAATATGTGTGAAGTGTCATCTGCTAGGGGAAGCTTGCCAGAGCCTAGGAGTCCAGGGTATTTTTGTGGTTTGGTTATTTATGCACACATGACTAGCTGTAATCATGAAAGGAAAACAGATGTCAACTGTAAATGACATCGTTTATACAAATATCTGGAGAAATTGATACGTGTGCTTCAGGACCTCAAGCATGCAAAACGTTCTTAGATCATTAGGACATTCTTAAGACGTCAGTTCCTAGGAGTTGGCCGAAGGCCAGTACTGCAACAAGCTCTCTTGGGAATGTGTGGTTTGAGCAACTCAGGCCTCTAGGGTCACTTCCTTCCTGCGTACCCCCGTTCTTATCCTCCTTTTCATGGGCAAACACTCCTTAATGGATTTTGTTAGTATTCAGCACTAACAAAGTTCACTTTTGTTCACTTTTGTTCACTTTTGTTCACTTTTGTTCACTTTTCACTATTCTCTTCTTTCCTATTATGATCTTTCTTTTCCTTACAAGTCTGTTTGGTTTGTTTGTATTTTAGGTGAGGTAACCCTTGGTTGACCTCACAGACTGCAAGGACCTTGTCAGCTTACAATCCCTTTTTTAAAATTTTTTACGCTTACAAGCACCTGGTCTTCCTAGGTGGTCTCCCATCCAAGTACTAACCAGGCCCGACCCTCCTTAGCTTCCGAGATCAGATGAGATCGGGCTTGTTCAGGGTGGCATGGCCGTAGTACAAGTCTGTTTGAATACAAGTTCACACTTGCTTGTCAATATCATAGACAAAAAAAATCTCACCTTTTCTACTTTATTCTTAGAAGTTGAAGTTCTTTCTCTGCGCTCTCACAGCTCTTCTCTGTTTATTTCAGAAATGATGAAAAATCTCGAAAACAAAGCGTTAATCCCAACACAGAGCATCTTTGAGGAAGAACAGTCCCACAGCATGAAGTTGGAACGATACGTGTGGGATGATCCTTGGTTCTCCAGGTTAGAGATTTTGGGATGTAAAGACCAAGTAGAAATGTACCACATGAATCAGAGTACAGCCATGAGGCAGATGGTCTTCATGCAAAAGCAAGTACTGTCTCAAAGAGGCACTGAGTTCTGTGAACTTGGGGCAGACTGTAGCCAGAGCTTAAACTTTGTTCCATCTCAGAGAGTTTCGCAAATTGAACGTTTCTATAAGCCTAATATAGATGCTGAAAGTTGGAGATGTAACTCAGCCATAATGTATGCAGATAAGATTACCTGTGACAATAACGATTATGACAAAGCCTTCTACCAGTCCATGCAGCCTATTCACCCTGCCAGGGTGCATACGGGAGATAATCTTTTCAAATGTACTGATGCTGTTAAATCTTTCAATCACGTACTACAGTTTGGCGATCATAAGGAAATGCATACAGGAGGACAACTCTATGAATATAAGGAATGCCATCAAATCTTTAACCAGAGCCCATCTTTTAATGAATATCCAAGACCTCATATTGGCGAAAACCAGTATGGTTACAAAGAATATGAGAATATCTTCTATTTCTCATCCTTTATGGAGCATCAAAAAATTGGTACTGTAGAGAAAGCTTATAAATACAATGAATGGGAGAAAGTCTTTGGGTATGACTCATTCCTCACTCAACATACGAGCACTTACACTGCAGAGAAACCCTATGAATACAATGAATGTGGGACATCTTTCATCTGGAGCTCTTACCTTATCCAACATAAGAAAACTCACACCGGAGAGAAACCCTATGAATGTGATAAATGTGGAAAAGTTTTTAGGAATCGTTCAGCCCTTACGAAACATGAACGGACTCACACTGGAATAAAACCCTACGAATGTAATAAATGTGGAAAAGCCTTCAGCTGGAATTCTCATCTTATTGTGCACACGAGAATTCATACAGGAGAGAAACCTTACGTATGTAACGAATGTGGGAAGTCTTTCAACTGGAACTCCCATCTTATTGGACATCAGAGAACTCATACTGGAGAGAAACCTTTTGAATGTACGGAGTGTGGGAAATCTTTCAGCTGGAGCTCCCATCTTATCGCTCACATGAGAATGCATACTGGAGAGAAGCCCTTTAAATGTGATGAATGTGAAAAAGCTTTTAGGGATTACTCAGCCCTTAGTAAACATGAAAGAACTCACTCTGGAGCAAAACCATATAAATGTACCGAATGTGGAAAATCCTTCAGCTGGAGCTCCCACCTCATTGCCCATCAGAGAACTCACACGGGAGAGAAACCCTATAACTGTCAGGAGTGTGGCAAAGCATTCAGAGAACGCTCAGCCCTCACCAAACATGAAATTATTCATTCTGGAATTAAGCCCTATGAATGTAATAAATGTGGAAAATCCTGCAGCCAGATGGCTCATCTTGTTAGACATCAAAGGACTCACACTGGAGAAAAGCCCTATGAATGCAATAAATGTGGTAAATCCTTCAGCCAGAGCTGTCACCTCGTTGCTCATCGGAGAATTCACACTGGTGAGAAGCCGTATAAGTGTAATCAGTGTGAAAGATCCTTTAACTGTAGCTCTCACCTTATTGCACACCGGAGAACTCACACCGGAGAGAAACCGTATAGATGTAACGAATGTGGGAAAGCGTTCAATGAGAGTTCTTCTCTTATTGTACATCTGCGAAACCACACTGGAGAAAAACCCTACAAATGTAACCATTGTGAGAAGGCTTTCTGTAAGAATTCTTCTCTTATCATTCATCAGAGAATGCACAGCGGAGAGAAACGCTTTATATGCAACGACTGTGGAAAAGCCTATAGTGGTCACTCAGCGCTGCTTCAACACCGGAGGAGTCACGGCGAAGAGAAACTCTGTGAATTGAACTGACGAGAGATTTTCTTTTATTGTACATTTGATAACACACTGAGAAAACCCTACAAGTATAATTAAGAAGAGAAATTTTGTAAGAGTTCAATGAGACTTCTCCCCTTATTACTCGATAGAAAATATCTTCTTGGAAGAAACCTTTGAGTGAAAAGCATAGAGGAAAGCTTAGCAGTTATGTAGCCGTTATTTAACCTCAGATAATTACAGTAAAAAAAAAAAAAATCCTCCAAACTCCTCTCCTGGTCCACCAGGAATCTTAACTTGAGGAACTTGAGTGTGGGAAGTGAGACATTTTTTCATAAGAGATCTCCACTGTTCATGGATTAGAGTGCACTGTTGTGGGGAAAAGCTTATGCTAGGAAAAGGGTTTCAGATGGAAATAACACTGTTTTGCCTCAAGCTGGAGTATTAGGTGTGAAGCTTTACGATAACATTTTGTGAATAATTGTGGAGATATAGGTTTTGCTATTATAAGGGGAGGTCTGGGTGCCCTTTAGGGACTAGAATGTGTAATACTAAATCTGAATTTAAGAAAAAAATAGTACTGAATGAGATATTTACTGTTGATCACGATTAACCTTAGAAAAGATTAGTAAATGAAATTGCCGATGGTGGGAAGGTTGTTACCCAGAAGTATGAGACCGATGTTGTTGGAACAAATGGTGATGCTTAATAACCCCATGTGTCGGTGCCCGTGGTTTATCCATTACTGCATTTTTGGACATTAGTTTGTAATTCGTTTTAGGCAGGAGGCATTGTAAGTTGTCATTATGGACACTGTGTCAATACATATAATCTGAATGAATAAGAAGGACACAGAGTCGTATATACATATTTACTATAACACCTAGAAAAAAATGTGTGTGGATAAGGACTGAAAGATCCAGGGAGAAATTAACCCAGTTAATTTTTTAAAAAATTTAAGGTTTTACAAACACAGCACTTACCATGTGCTAGGCTTCATTTTAAATGCTTTTTTCAGATATTAACTTGTTCAGTCCCTTTATTTCTGTGAGATAGGTACTATTATTATACCAGTTTTACAGATGGAGACATTGAGGCAGAGATGTTTAGAAACCTACCTAAGAACACATAACCAACAAGGAGTGGCACTGAGATTGTTTGGCTGCAGAGTTCATGTTTTTAACCACTATGTTATATTGTCTCTCCAGCGATTTCCTTCCCCTAATGTTTAGGGTTTTTATTTTGTTCAGTGTTTCTATAGTAGATATTTGATAATAAAAACCAAGAGATTCCTAAACGGTGAGAAATAAAAATTATCTGGCTCTCAGTCCTGAAGGATTTCTGGTACCATGAGAAATAAGCTCCCTCCGGAATATGAGGTCTGGATAGGACATTCAGGAGGACTGCATTTTCGGGGACCTGGGTACCCTAGAATGTCACCACCCATGACCCTGAGGCTACAGCAGAACGGGGGCGGGAGGACACACTGGAGGTTCGGGCAAGTCAGAAATGCGCCTCGGTGGGTTTAGAATGCGCTCCTGGGGCAAAGAGCGAGAGACAGCACTACAGAGACACCGCCGGCATTGCTCACGGGCTTTCTGGAGTTCCTGTTTCTGTTGGTCTCCAGATGAAAAGGTTGGTGGATCCCAGGGAGGATTCGGAAGGGAAGGGTACTAACTAATCCCCATAGAGTGCTCTCTGCTCACGAGAGAAAAGAGGGCTTGGGTGAAATCTCCCCAGTTCACAAATAATTCCTGTATTTCCCTAATGTAGGGCCAACAGTCCTTCCTGGATAGGCTTGAAGGGACTGGTTAGACATTCAGAGTATGAGAGCTTCGTCTAGGCCCAGGACTCACTGCTGGTTGGGAAACTGGCTCCCATTGTCACGGATGCCGTGTTCATCTGCCTGCTGTTGCTGATGCTCACATAGGTATGTGATATCTGATTCCTCACCTTTCAGGGCTTAATGCAGAGTGGTCACCCAATAAATGTTGCAGGAGTAAATGAAAAGAATCGAATGGATTTCCCATGAGACTTGTGCGAAAATCCTTGGAAAGAATAGCGTTAACAATATTATCTTTGTGAGAAGCAGCACCTAACGTATCAGGAGTCACACTGCCAGTATGTGGGTCTTCTGTCCCGATACCCAAAGTTGTACACTCGGAGTGAATCCGATTCCCTGGGTTAGGGACTCCAAAGGGTTTCATGACGCGTACACAACGTCCATAAGCGTCTGGCTGGTTTTTCTATAACCGTATTGCCAAGATTGTTATCTTTTCAAAGTGAGCCTCGCGTCATGCTCACTCTCGGCAGGTGACTTTGCTTCCTATGTCCCCGAGAGAATACGAGCAATCAGCAGGGGCCTCCGTGACATCTCTCCACCACCTCCACCACCTTCCAGAGTTGGTGCCTCCATTCTAGAAAACGAAATGCCTCGAGTTGTCTTCTTGCTGTCTCCACTTTTTTTTCAGTCTTTCTTGACCCACTCTAAATAGAGATCTCCACCAGGTGGCCTCCAGGTTGCTGTATCCAATGGTCGACTCTGTTTTCTTCTTCCTTGACGTCATCAGCAGCATCTTGGATAATGGACCCTTTCCTTCTTGAAACGTTGAGCTGGCTCTCAGGACGTCCTTCATGACCTTCAGGCCCCCTAGGCTGTTTCTTCCCCACCTTCCTTACCTCGCACTGTCGGGGTGCCCATTTCCTGTCTGCTCACACCCCCAATCTCCTCCAATCTGGAGGCATTAAACACCACCTGGATGCTGACAACTTTAAAGGCACAGCTCATCATTTGATAAACTTTGAAAAATGCCTGCACCCTTGTTAGCTCCACTGCAATCAAAATCGAGAATATTTTTGCTTCTCCAGAAAGTGCCTTCATGTCTCAGTGCAGTTAATCCCTCCATACCCTACCACGCCCCGGGCATCCATCGATCTGCTTTGTCGATACATGTTAAAATAGCCTCTTGGAGTTTTACATAAATACAGTCACACAGTGTTCTATTCTTACACCAACTTTGGGGTCTGGATGCTTTTGCTCAACACAGTGTTTTGGAGGCTCACTGCTATAGTAGCGTGTATCAGTCGTTTGCTTTTTTTTTTTTTTTGGCTGAGTAGGGTTCCGTTGCATGGATGTGCCACATTAATTATCCTGCTCCTCTGTAAATGGACATTGAGCTGTTTCCTGTATTTTGGGGAAGAACCTAGGAGTGGAACAGCTGAATCGTTGGCTAAGAATGTGTTTAACTTCATAAGACACTGTCTGTGGGCCTTTGCTGCCGACGTCTTTAATCTGTTTTACATTCTGGAAATTTATCTCATATTTTAAAAACATTTTATCTTTTCCATTTAAAATGTTTCTCTTTTCAGGACTCCTATTATTCGGATGCTAGCATGCCTGTGTCTGTCACTCACGTCTGTCAGCTTGTCTTTTATGTTCTCTGATTCCTTTTGTTTGGACATGGCTTCCGTTTGCCCTTCCGCTTGGCTCATTTGTTGCTCAGCCGTCTGTCCGTGTTGCTGTGTATTTTCTCTATTGTATCTTCATTTCAACAGTTGTTTTTCAGACCTAATGCTTCTACTCGGTTCTTTTTTATGTGTTGTTGTTCTCGTTTCCTGTTGCTAATACCATACCTTATCCCTTTACATGTATTTAATAGATGAATATAAAATGTTGGCCTATTAGTTCTAATATATCTGCTTCTGATGGACTCTGTAATCCAGTGTGTGGTTCTTCTTTTGAAACAGTTTTGCTCAGAAAATTGCTTTTTACCTGAGCACAGTTCTCTTGGGTCACGGGCTACTCCATTAATCGTTATGCATACATGCGACAGGATGGGAACCTGGTCCCTGGAAGACCCACCGGGTTCAGGGTCAGGGAATGGGTCCTGGGATGAGGAGGCCGAGGCATCATTAAGCCAGGCAGTGGCCCCTGGGCATGTCACCGAGTTCAGAGTCAGGGAATGGGTCCTGGGATGAGGTGGCCGAGGCATCGTTAAGCCAGGCAGTGGCCCCTGGGCATGCGGAGGCCCGGTGCTGAGACACAGGCCTGCGGGATGGCAGTCTGCGCCTGTCCCAAACTACTCGGCAAAGGCTGCTGTCCCGCCTTGCTGTCCTCCCCATGACGCTGGGACCAGAGGTTTGGTGACTGCAGCTGTGGGGACACAGTCTGTTCCCAAGGCAAAGGCAGGGGAGGAGCGAGAGCGAGGCCTGGAAGTTCCTTCTTTATTTTACTCACGTGGCTGAGCTGTGCTGCCTCCTGCCCCCCGCACAGTTTAGATCAGGAACCGGCCCAGGTCTTCCTCAGAGATCCCGGCGCTCCCTGACTTTTTGCCTGTTCCCTCGTGCCTGGGTTTATCTCAGGTGGCTGTGGGTGCGCTGTCTCCTAGGAGCTGGAATCGGACGTCAGTTGTGAACTTTCTGAGTGGATCGTACAGAGGTGCCGGGGCCCACGTCCCATTATGCCTCCCCTCATTCTCTCTGCTTTGTGGGAGCAGCACACGGCACGGGCCGGTCCAAGGCCAAGAGGATCTGTTTAAAATGCAGGTCCCCCCAGTCTTGATTCCCTTGCCCTGCTCTACTTTCATATATTAAGTATCCATGTCAGGCACATTGTATATTCAACTCGGTTATTATATTATTACCTCTGACGCCTTTCGCATTTTTACTAGACACAAGGTCTGGGAGGGCAGAGATTCTCCTTGTCCGGTGTTATGCCCACAAGACCCAGAACAGTGCCTGGCACACCGCTCTCAACGTAGACGGAGCCGTGAGCGAGGGCCATCGGGGTTTTGGATATAGGCATGTGCTGCTTAATGATAGCGACACGTTCTGATCACCGCGTGGGCGACTTCGCTGTCGCGTGAACATCAGAACGCACTTACACAAATCTAGACAGTATGTGTAAACTGCACACCCAGTGCACACCGAGGCTCCGTGGTATAGCCCACTGCTCCTAGGCTCCAAGCCTGTACAGATGTCGCTGCATAAAATAGCTCGAGATTGTCAAGCACGAAACAAAAGCGATGCAATCTAGACGCAAACTCGGGATGTTTGAGGCTGCTGCCCATGTGACGCAGCACGCTATTTCACAGGAAAGTTTTTTTTGTTTGTTTTTTTGTTTTTTTATGTAAGAATACACTCTAAAATAATGAAAAAAATAGAATATGGTGACCAGAGACACCAGTGACAGGATTGATATTACCATTATCAAATCTTATGTAATACGCATAATTGTAGCCGCTGTACCTACAGATGACGTCAGTGCGAGACGTTCATTTACACCAGCATCTCCACGAACACATAATGCGTCGTGCAACGTTAGGACAGCTGCGAGGTCACTAGGCCGTAGGAATGTTCCGATTCCGTTATAATCCCGTGGGACCACCGTGGGACATGCAGCGTGTCGTTAACTGAAACGTTATCTGGCGCGTGACTGACGGGGAGCGAGGCTCCGAGCCAGGAGCTGCCTGGGTGCTCCGCTCGCCCCGTTTAGGGACCAGTGTTGTTCTTGTCCGGTCAATAAACTGTGTGGACTGGGAGGTGATGAGCTCATTGTTCTAGAGCTTAGTATAGACCGGACAGGGACTGCCGTGTGGCCACTGCTGCCTCACGGGGTCCTCCGGTGCCTGGGCACTGCCAGGGGGTGCAGCCATCCAGGTGGGGGGCAGAGAGGTCTTCCACAGTTAACGTTACATGTAAGTGCATGTGAGCAGGTCATTTAAGGTCATGACCTAAATGGCTTGGTTACAGTCGTCCTAACTCTGGACGCCTCCGTCTCCCGTACTCACGGGACCAAGGCACTTAGGAGTGAGTTGAGTGTGTACTCGCCCCTGAGCGCATAAGTCACCGGTGCTGGGAACGGTGGACGGAGGGGCTCGTTCAGAAAGCAGCGGAGGACAGTGATGACCCAGAGGTGATGCCATTGGGCAGTGACTTCATGTCATGGCTGCAGCTTGGGAACACGTGCAAATGCAGAACAGAAGCAAGTGGATTTTGACGTGAATAACCAAGTTTGAGTCACCATGAGAGGGAGCGAGGGCACTTGGCAAACGACGCACGTGCTGGTTCGCTCGTGTGCTCGTTCGCACATGCGTTCGGCACACCACCCCAGAGGGATCCGCAGATGCCCTCAGGAGCCACGGTCCCATGGGCGACACATTAGGGACATCGGCGAAAACAGGTCAGGGTGTCAGGGCCACACGGCAGGACAGCAGTGGTGGGAGCACCCTCGGAGGGTCCTCCCGGGAGGCGAAGCCGCTGTCCTCTCTGTCCTCGGCCAGCAAGCACCAGCCTTTCAGAGCAAGGGGAACAAAACGCGCGCTCGCCTGTCAGTTCGGAACGTGAGACTCGAGGTTTTGTTCAACACGAGGTGAGCGCTGTTGTGCATCGTGGACACACTGTGACCGAGGCCGCGAGGACGGGCCGGGCCTAGGCAGGACGGGGGGAGCTGGGGATGACAGTGAGGGCCGGGGCCTGGGGCCAAAAACAGACGGAAGAGGAAACGCATGGGGCCGGGAGATGGAGACAAGGAGCAAGCTGTGCCTCCCCGCCCCGGGAGCCCTGCCGGGCACACCCCTCGCTCTGTCCTGCTCCCCATTGGCCCACTCGGTTCCGTGAAGGAACCCCAAGTGGCAGCCTGCGCTGACCTCACACTGGTGGCTCCAGGTCAGAACCCAAACATTCTGTAGGGAGCAGTGCTTCTTCGTTGCCAGTGTAAACAGGGCAGATGTTGGGCTCTAGCTGAATATTTCCTTTTATCCAGAGGATAAAAGACTTAACAATTTTGGAGTGATGGATAAGGTTCAAAGGTTTCTCACCTTTCTATTTTTGTTTTTAATGGAATGCCCACTTGGTTTATGCTCACCTTACGCAGGTGAGTTCAAACCCAGCTGGACAAACAGCAGGCTTCATGGGGAGCATCAACCATTGTTCTTACTTGTTTCGGGAGAAGTAAAAAGGGAGGGTAATTCCATTTCACTGCTACAAGTTTTCTTTTTAAGGCTATAAGCAGTCACAGGACACAAATGTCACCAAACAGCCCGCAGCGTCCTCTAAGAAAACTCAGGTACCTCATTTTCAAGCGGTCTCCCCGCTCCCCCGCGGTAAGTGCTCTGGTCGCGCGGTCAGTGGGAGAGAACTGTGGTCTGGGGCTCCATCTGCTGTGTCCGTTAGGAGCCTGGCCCATAACTGCTGTGATTAGGTGAACTCTGCTTGGAAACGAAGCTGTATGTTCTTCACCCTCTGTAAGCGGCGCCCTCTTTGGAATTGCTGCTTCTCTTTGATCTTAACTGGCACACGCAAAAAGCTGGCCCACCGGACGCTCTGAGTATGTCTGTGTGAGTTCAACTGCGATTTGCTGTGCTCACTTTCACGATAGGGCGGCCGAGTCCCGGGGCAGATCCTCTGTAAGTGTAAAGTGCTTTTTACAAGCAACTGCCTTCTACACTTTGCATTTCGAGCCCCACGGGGAACTGTGTCTCAGAGCAGAGGAACTGACCTTGACATCCTTAAAGTCAGGTAGCAGCACATTGTTTACATTTGTGGTGCTTATAAACAATCTCGATTCCGTACAAGGGAAATGACATCTGCATGATATAATAGCATCTGGTTTGTGTCAGAGGAAAGGCTACTGCTGTCGGGCTCTCCCTGGCACTTGGCTTCCTGGCCTTGTGATGGAAACACAGCCCCCTTCAACTCTGCGCTGAGTCACTCCAGGTCCTCAACCCCAGGGGGACAGGGGGGTGGGGGGTGCATGCCAGCTCACGTGACTGCAAAAGCAGACAAGAAACCAAATGCATCATGTTCTTAATGGTCCATATTCACAAAAGGAAACGCTGGAAGGAAACAGAACACCATGCCTTTACAAACTAAGCCACATATTTCTACTAGGCGTTAGAATAAATTTATTAACAACAGTTACCATCTTAACTCTTGGAAACTGTTAGACCCCCTCCTCTGATACCAAATTACTTCCTAATTTTCCTAAATTTATCTTAAACCTCTCTCTTCTCTCTGATCCTCTTCAAAGGCCATCTACTTCGGAGACCTACGAAGTTTCTGAGGCTTAATGGTAAGTCAAGAGGACCTGGGAGGGGGCGTGGGAAACGTGGACATTCCCAAAGTTGTGCGGCGCGTTGCACTAGAGGGCGCCACTAAATCATCACTAACCTCTACGGCCCCAGCTGGACGGTGGGGTTAGCAATGGCGATCAGGAAATACGGAAAATAAAAACGTGGTTAATATGAGCATCCATCCGGCACACAGTATTAATCTTCCTAAAGCTCAGCTGTGAATTGTTCACTTGCCAGTTCACCTCCGCCACCAAAGACCAGAGACTGAGTTGTTGCCGCGACAGTACCAGGGGGCCTGAGTTCTGGTCATTACTTTGTCACCAACTTGTTTTGTGAGCCTGCACTAGACTTCGCTGAGACCTCTGCCTTGCCTGAGCTTTAGGCCCCAAGTGTGGGTTCTGATACAGAGGTAGAGGACAGAATTGTCTGGCTGGTCAGATCACTAGAGGACTCCAGTTTTCACATGTAGCCCTTAGCTCTCGGTTATGTGGGAAGATGCCTACCCAACTCATAGGGAAAAATACATGTTGAAAATTTCACCCTAATTCCAGTTTTCAGCTGTCATGTTGAAAGTGGGCACACTGTTTTCTAACAAATCCTACAGGCAAAGGAGCTGGGAAATACAGTCTCCCGTTGTGCTCGTAGGTCAGGAAGGAGCGCAGCTTTTACTGGTGGCACTTGGCAGTTCTTCTGAAAAGGATGTGTTGACTTTTTGGCCCAGTGTTGAAACATACCTGGGATTTGTTGTCCTCAGGTGTGGTAAGACACACAGGCATGGAAACGACTTACGAAGGAAGAAGTTAGATGCACAGATTCCTAGAAACAGGAGGCACGGCACCCCGTGCGGGGCCATGTGGGGGGAAGGACCAGAGGGGTGCAGGAGGCAGGAGGCCAGAGGAAGAGGGGAGGGCGCAGTGGGGAGGAATGGGCGAGGTGAGGTAGCCGCATGGAGTAAGCTTAGGGATGGGTAGTTGGGGGTGGGTCTTGTCGTTGTCCAGGACCTGGCCCAGGGTGATTTAGGGCAGAGGGAACATTGGCTTGGAGTGTGAATGTTTGACAAAGGAAATGGCTATGTGAGGCCATGTGTGAACCCATGTATGGGCCCCAGGCCCCAAAGCATTTGGATTGTGTGTCAAAGGCATGCTCTTGGGGAGTCCTTTGCCCTGAGAAATATGAGTTCTGGGAGGGGGAGCCTCCAGGATTGACGCCCCAAACGCTGGAGCATCCAAAAGACAGAAAATAAGAAAATATAGTCAATATAAGCAGCGACTCCATTTCTCGGGACCTGTATAAAAAGTACGTTACTCCAAGTCCCAAGTCCACTTCCCCTCGCATCCTGCTTGGTGACTTTTCCTGTCATGTCACAAATTAAGATACTCAGTCCCATTCTCGTCTGAACATGCCGTCAATTTTCCCATCTTAAAAACGTGTGTCTCTCGGTCACTCAGCCGCCTCCAGGAGCCGCCTCGCTCTCCCGGCCTTAGCAGCAGGGCCTCCTCGAAAGCTTCGCACGACTCGCCATCGATTCCTTCCCTCTCCGTCCCTCTCGCTCCTGTTTCAGACAGGCTCGCCTCCCCGCCGCGTCCGTCGCTGTCGCTACGCTGTCGCTAAGGCTGCCTTCGTCTAAGTCTGCGCGGACCTTCCCTTTGCCAAACCCAGTGGCCATTTCCCCTACTCATTGTTTTCGAACCATCTGGAACCCACATTCTTTTTTCTCCCCTACTATGAAAATCTGAAAACATGCAGAAGAGTTGAATGGTAGAGCGCACATCCGTATCCCCCACACCTACGGTCCATATTGAAGCCGTTCGCGGTGCTCGCGTTTTCATAGTTGGGGCGTTTTCACAGTTGGGGCGTTTTCGTCATGCCAGGCTGACTTTCCACTGCGCCGTGAAGCTCAGGGCATTTTCAGCCCAGTCGCCAAGCTCCTCGTCCTTTACCAGTGAAGGGACAGAAAGTGAGGCAAGGCCAACCGAGGGACATGGAACAGTCACTCAGTTGGTCACACTTTAATGTTGGGTAACTATGGCGTATATCTGAAACATACCATATTGTGTGCTAGTTACATTTGAAAAACAAATCTTAAAAAAAAACGTGTCAGATTATACAAGTGACCGAGTCATGTACTTACTTGCTAATTGTACTTTTGTTCCGTTTGTACAGACAAATCTGTTTTTTTGCTTGTTTGTTTTTTACTTCAGATGCTGGGAAAGGAAATACACCCGAGCCCACAAAGAGCAAGCAGGATCTTAAAGCACATTCAACAGAGCTGACCACCAACACCTGGGATGCAGGTGGGTGGGACCGCACCCCGAGTTCCCCGTAACGTCCTGTCATTATACACGACACAGCCTGAGATCGTCAGGACAGCACTTGAGCTGTAACGCTAAGGCCGCCCCCCGCCCGATACCTACAGAGACAGCAGGTGCTACTGTACTGAGTCAGGGACCCCACATCTCGACAGAAAAAAAGGGAGGGCGTCGGCCACGAACAGGAGGCAGATGAAAAAGGGGAGTCAGCGATTATGTGGGAATTCAAAATTTATTTGATCTCATGGTCTGTGCAATCCCACTTCTGTATTTTTAAAATCGAGAATGGTATTTTTTAATGGTATTTCTCATTTTCTCTCCCATACCCCTTGGAATAACCATATGATTCACAAATGTATTTAGTGACCGCCAGGCACTGCTAACATGGAATTCTGTGAGAACTTCTTTCTTTCCATTTTCAGCACTGATTCTGCACCGGCCTGCTCTCGTTCTCGTAATTATAATCGCATGTACAGCCTTAAGCATCGCCCTGATCTGTGGGCTCACGATTTTTTATATGATATAGTAAGTATATCATATGGCTATGTGACATTACCACCCTTAAGTAAGACACAAATTAACTGGGTTATTAGTGATGATAATGATGATGATAATGACAATTGTTATAATCACTAAATTATTATAATTATTATACATTTTCAGATGAATCTTTTTCAGAATATGGACTGTACTCATGTTGGGTCATGATATAAATGGAAAAAAAAAGAAAATAGAAAATAAAAGAAACAGGCCAATACAATTTAGAGGAATAGAACATAATAGAAAGTATTACATGTATTAAATTAAACTTGTCAGACATGGATACACGGTCGTGAAGTAAAACGTATTTCTTACTGTGGATCATGGTCAAAAATGTTCGAAAGCCAGTGTCTGAGGTGATGGTAGTGTCCTGAGGCGTGTGTGTTAAAGTGAGCTTGCTCACTGGGAGGAATCTTGACAGCACGGAGCAGAAGAGAGTGACCTCTCTCTTTTTCACTAAATACGTGTTATTACTAAAGTAGTCTGGGTTAATGGTAGCATTTTGGGAAGATACTTCATCTCATTAGCACAAATAAAGCTCGCGTTCAAGCTCTTTCAAGTGATGTGATCATCTTGAAATTAAGATTAGACAAAAGTGAGCTGCACGGGGACAGCACGCCCCTCTCCCCAAACTAGCATACTGATTCCCGCTCTAGGACTCAGGCCCAGGGTTCCGTTACGTCCCATCAGAAATAGCTTGAATATACACTAAATTATTGGTCTATTAGAATTCCGTATGAACATGAGAAACATAGCACCCTCGTGGGTTATTCTTTAAGGTCGGCATTTTAGGACCACCTCGAAGTATTCAAAGAAAGGCAAAATGAGATTGAAGGTAAATTTGAAGAAATTTTGCTAATGAGAGAGTGTAACCAGCATATTTGGTTCTAGGTTATCAAATGTGGCAATCTCGTTTGACTCAATTTATGTAACTGCAATTTCGGTTTATTTCATTAGTATAAACGAAGATGTTAACACGTAGAAGGATTTCAAATGTATCCTCCTGGACTTTCAGCACCCCATTCAGTTGCTGGGCTAACGTCAGCTCTTACAGCTTTTACATTTGTGTTACAGCCAGGGCCACACCAAGCTGTTTTAGAGCCTGAGGCAAAAGGAAAACACACGCCTCAGGGTACATGTTTTCATATAACTTTTAGTGGTTAATTTTTCCCAGAAGTAGACTTGGAAAAGAATCTCGGTGAGTTTGCTTTCATTTAAACCAGGAAAGTAAAATTAAAATTAACTTTAATGTTTTGGAAAAGAACCTTTTAAAAATACATAAAAACGTGCAGGGACTCACCTTTTTCCTTTTGACTGGCAGCACTGTCGGATCCTGTTTTCATTTAAAATTTGGATATTTGATTTAGCGTGGATTTCCCCCATTCACTTTATGTTTTGAAAATATTGAGTTAAAATGTTTATTATCATTACTGAGTTTTTTGGCACCCCCTTAAATTTTACATCTGAAGGGAGCACCTCACTCTCCTTATCTAAATCCTGGTCCCGACTTCTTGGCGATCTTTTACAATGTTTATGATTGGGCCTTTTCTTCCTGCTGCACAGCGTGCTTCTGGAATATTTCCTCAGCACCCTTTCCCTCTTCATAGCCCCTTAGGACACAAAAGCTGATCCTAAAATTCTTTTTTATTACATGAATCAACCAGAATTGGGAAGGTAGGTATGTTAGGAAGAAGTAAACACTCTATCACCCATTTCCACATTAAACAGAAATAACTGTTCGATGAACCACATCCAGTTTGGACTTAGGGTGAGGGAAGCAAGGCGCCATGCCACCTCAGGTGCAAAATTTCAAGGAGTGTAAAAAAAAAAAAAAAAACCAGTAATCAAGATAAATCACATTTCAGTGCAATATTTTTTGAAAATCTAAATTAATGCTTTGCAGAATCCACAATGAACAAAACATCAACATTTTAATACAGGATTAGTGATGTAGTGGGCCAAGCTATACCGGAGGCTGAGTGGAAGGAAAAATCTGTAATACCTAAACTTTATTTAAAATGTTGATATTGTATTCATCGTGGATTTCTTGGTACTAAGTTTTCTTTTGTAAGATGTCGCATTAAGATATTTATCTTATGGAGTTTTTCAGTTAAAAAATTAATTTTTTAAAAAGTCACAATTAAGACATGATAATGTGTCATGGAAATTGCGCTCCTGAATTCATCTGTATTACTCTCCAGTCGGTTGGTACGGGCTGAAGAAAGACAACAACTTGCGTTGCTTTATAAAAATGTCAGGATACCATTATTAGAAGATGAAGAGGAGAGCTCTGAGGACGAGGGCCAAGACGAGTCCAGTTATCTGCTTCCAGAGAGTGAGAAGGAGCTGGAAAAGTTCATTCATTCAGGTAGAGAATCAACCTGTTTATTGTGTCAGATCCAAAGTCACAGAAAAGCTGAGCTGGTTTGGTTTTCAAAGGCAAAGCTAAGTGAGAGTTAATGGAGTTTGAGGTCAGAAAGAGGAATATTTCCAGCCACAGCTACAGAAATGAACTGTTCTCATCAAATTACAGAGTGATGAGAACAGTTCATTTCTGGAGTGTGTGGGTTGCTTGGTTCCTTTTGCAGCGAAATTCCAAGAATAGACAACAGCGTTCAGGAAACGAACCTTTTCCCAAACAAGACGTTTCCCATCAGCACACTTGTTAATGTGGCATTATTCTTGAGTTCAGGACACAGACAAGCAGATGTCCCACCTGCGCCATGCGCTTCATTGTCATGTATGGATCCAGGCCCACAAAACGGAGGTCACTACCCCCAAGTCAAAGACCCCTGTCAGAGCAATGCCCGCTGTGCCTGCACCCTTGTGAGGAAAGGGCAGCGTACATGCTCATGGAAACCTGATTTTGTAGAAGTTCTGACATTCTCAAGTACTCGCAAAAATATGTGGAGAGTGCAGTGTCGGATTCGATGCTACTAACCATCCCTGCGTGGACCTCCCCTCTGACAATCCCAGACGTAGAAAATTGATGCTCCCTGACGGATGGCCCTCGTTTACCCTTAGAAAAGACTTTTTTCAATGTCTTTTTTTCTACATTCTTCCTCCCACGACCCCCCACATTGGACATTTCTGAAGCTTGAATAGAGAAAGTGGGAAAATAATTTTAACATTCAGCTTTCACCATCCTTGTCAGGCAAATAACATTCATTATGTCCTGAAAATTCCACTGTTTGCACCTTTTATTTTTCCATACTTTTTTCCCTCACCTCTTTTGTCTGCATTTCTCTTCCTCATTTATTTGTCTCACAATAACATTATGTCTACATTTTAGTTATTCGATCAAAAAGAAGAAAACACAGTAAAAAGATGAGATTGAAGAACGAGCAAAAGTTTGTCAAGGACATGAAAATACGGAACGTTCTGCGCATAGACAGCAAATGAAGGAGCCGTAGGACGCGCTTTCCAGTGCGGAGAACACAGTGGCCAGGAGGACAGGCTGAGGACAGGAGCGTGACTCATTCTCTGAGAACTCTGTACAAGAGCACCCTAAGAAAAGAAAACGAGGTGTTTTTAACAGAAAATAAATTCATATGATATAGCCATTCTTGCTTCTTAGCTCTCATAGTTCGTGAATAATCGTGACTTGATTGGAAAGAGAAAAATCCAACTTTGTAAGTATGAAAGAGAAATTGCCAGAGTTTTCTTTTCTTGCTTTCAACCAAGTCATTTCCTTGGGCAGTCTCCCAGAACCCACTAGGGAGCCTCTTGAATTCAATGGAACTTTCCCAGCGATATTATCAGTCGTAGTAGCTTGTCTCCATTTACACACGAGGAGACTGAAAATGTCAACTTAGTACCAAAGGAAGGAGGGGAAAAATCCATTCCATGGTTTATAATGCTTAGAGTGATTCCATCCCAGGGTTTGGAATCAGGTAAGGGCCCGGGAAGTGGGGAAGCCCGGCGCAAGCACACCTGCATGCCTCTGGACTCCATCGAGGTCTGCGGCTAGGCCATTCGGTCATTGCCAGACAGCATGGTACATATTCCAGTGTTGGTTTTGCTGGACTATGTATCATATATTGGATGGCAGCATGGAGAGGCCACGCTGCTTTTTAATCAAGTATCAAGTAAACAAGGAAGGGCAAGAGCATGAATTTTCATGGGCAGATGTGTCTTAGCAAACCACCTTGGTAAGCCGAACTCTAAGGCGTCACCCAAGATTCCTGCCCCTTGGTGTACACAGCTATGTATTCCCCTTTCCTTGAGTGCAGGCCCGCAAATATGACGGATGTCACTCCCTTGATTAAGCAAAGGTGAGAGGATAGTTGCTCTTTGTTATGTTACATAAGTCTGTCTTAGTAACTAGAGAGCTATGTCTCCTAGTGTTTAGGGACTGGTTCCATGCAGCGCAAGATGTGCATTAACCAACCCAGCATGAGGGCTTCAGGCCTTCTCAGATATTTCCTGGGCACGCATCAACCCTGACTTTGTGAGTGCATGTATCTGTGTGTGTGTGTGTTCGTGTGTGTTTTCCCCAATTCTGCAGTTTACACAAAGTGACTAATAAATTGTGCTAAATAGCTCGATTTTACTGAGGGGGTACAAAACAATAGTCATGAATATAAAAAATGGCAAAACAAAACGAAAAGCTTTAAAAATTTGCCAATTCAGGAATCTCCAAATTATTCTTGGTGCATCATGGGTTTTTCTTTTTCAAAAATGTACATATTGGCGGTTAGCACATCTGTTTTACACGCAGAAGGTCCTGGGTTCACACTCCAGTGGAGCCACAGTCCCTGGTCTATGGCCATGCCACCCTGAACAAGCCTGATGTCTGATCTCGGAACCTAAGCAAGGTTGGACCTGGTTCGTACTTGGATGGGAGACCACCTAGGAAGACCAGGTGCTGTAGGCATTAATAATAATAATAATAATTGCATATTGTGTGATTGTGTGTTTTTTCTGAAGGTGAGATCTTCAATTTTTTCACCATCCAATGATACTTCCCCAGAGACATTTCTGGCACCATCTTTGAATTACTACATAGTCATTATTAATAGCTTTCTAAAATTTTTATTTTGAGATATAAATGACATATAACATTAGTTTCAGTTGTTACAACATAACAATTCAATATTCGTATACATTGTGAATTGATCACCACAGTGTCTAGTTAACATCTGTCACCTTACATAGTTGTAAAAATCAATAGCCTTCTATGATTTGCATTTTACAAGCGTTTTTCTGAGATATCCATTCCTCATGCTCTTGCCTCTGTCATCACTTCTCAGCAATGAGCTGAGATCAGGCAGTTAAGATCTCCCACGTTCCTCTACCAGTGGGCTCATTTTCTGACCAAATAACTATGGAATATGTGCATTTGGATCTGTAAGCTTTGGGGAGCATCTGAAAGAATATGTTTAGCCTCTGAGAACTTCATGGATGCTGGCATAAAATGTCTCCAAACACTTGGGTAATCAGTTGCAGACAGTACATCCCCAAAAGTTGAGTATGACCCCCTTAAGAAGGAGCCAAGCCTCTCCTCCGTTTTGGGACCCACACTTGCCATTTCCGAGCGTACACCGCGGCGGAGCGTGACCTGTCCACTGAAGGTCTGGTGGCAGCGCCCTTGCCCCGCGGCTGGATCTGGGAACTACATTACCCAGAATGCTCCGAGACGGCGGCGGCGGCGCGACCAATAAAGGCTCAGAAAAGTTTCCGCGTGAGGAAACTAACTTCGCGCGGGACTTCCGGCGTCGTCCTCGTGGTGGGCGATTTGTCTTCTCCCCGGATCGGCTGCCCTGGTCGGAGGCTCCGGATCGCTGTGTCGGGGTCGAGGTGCCGGGGCCGTAAGGCGCGACAGGAGTAATGGTCCCCGCCTCTCAGACACGGATCTGAGACTTGGCGAAGCCGTCCGGGTGACCCGCTCCAGGGCGGGGACGGGGATCGCCGTGCCCGGCGCCTCCTTCGCTCCCGTCCCGCTCCGCCCGCAGAGTTCTTTGGCGGCGGCCACGCCGAGGGTCCCCGCTCGGGTGAGCTGCGCGTTTCCCGGGCCTCACCGTCCTCCGAGACCCAAACCCTGAAGCCCCGCGTGCGGGCGCCGCTCCCGTCCTGCAGCCCGGATCCCGGCGTCCGGGCCGGTGAGGCTCTGCTGCGCGTCCCTGGCCCCACCGTCCTCCGAGACCCAACCCCTGAAGCCCCGCGTGCGGGCGCCGCTCCCGTCCTGCTGCCCGGGACGGTGAGGCGCTGGCGGGCGACGTGCGGGGTGACGGGCTGTGGGAGAAGGTCACAGGCCGAGGGACCGGCCGTGTGAAGACGCGGGGGGTGGGGGAGACGGTCGAGCCAGGAGGCCCCGGGAAGAGTTGACATAAGAGGTCCGTCCTTCCTCTGCGGGGACAGTGAGTGTGAGGCGGAGTGACACCTGGAGTAGCAGTCTGGGGTTGTCCCTTATTGTGAGAACTGCAGAAGCCCTGGAGAGTTTTGAACAAAAAACCCCCACTATGTCCATTAGGGTTTTAAAACGTTCCCAAAGGCTGTTCAAAGGAAGAACAGATGGGAGGGGAGCGATGAGTTCATTGAGTTGCTGGAGGTTGAGTGTTTATTCACGGTCACAGTGCTGGTAAGAGTCGCCACTGAACGTTGAAGCCCAGAAGTTCGCCAGCCAGCCTGACTGAAGGCACCTGGCTCCAGAGCCAGGGGAGGAGGGTACAGGGAGGCATGAGCGCCAGGGACCCACTCGATCCTCTAAGGCTTGCCTCTCCCCGCAGGTTCCCATGTCTGTGGAAGTGCTTATGGAACCCAGACAGGTAAGTGGAGCTGTCCCTGTCCCTTACTAATCCCAGCGCCACTCCCATATTCTGTGGGTTGTGCTTTCCTGGGACCCCAAGCCCAGGGTCCTGAGTCCATGTTTTAGGCTGTGTATAGAGATACTTCCATTACTGACAACCAATGTAAAATATTGTAATTATTGTAATTATTTGTAACAATTTACAAATAAAGAAAGAAAGAAAAAAGCACTAGATTTTCTAACGTTGACAGTGAGGGAGTGAAAGAGAGGAATCAGTGGGATCCCCGGATTTTTGGGTTAGCAGCTGTAGTGATGAAAGCTGCATTAACAGAGATGAGCAAGTTGGTAATAGGTATAATGTTTACTAGGATATCAGGAGCTTTGTTTTGACCATGTTAAGAGTCAGATGTTTCAGAGACCGCTGAGTAGAAGCCTCAGATGGACAGCTGGACACACACATTGACACACCTGAGGAAGGATTCAGATTGGGTACATCTAAAACGTAGCTACTGTGAAGACCAAGGCGAGTGAGCGGTGGGTCACATTTAGGAGAGGTAAACTTCAGGTTATGGTTGTGAAACTATTAGCAGATGTTGATCTTTAGCAAATACCCATATGGTTCTCCTGTGAATTGGGTTTATTTGGGAAAAATAAAATTGCAATTCAGAACATTCAAGCTGTGGTAGACCCATAGGCAAGTTCAGATTAAAAAGGAGAGGAATGTTCTTTTACAGAGGCAGGGGCAGTTCAGGGGGGCTTTTGTAAACATGCATTGCAGGAAACTGGGAGTTTGATTTATAGTGGTTTTTCATTGGTCATTGGTTAAGTGGTTCCCCAGTGAGGAAAAGGCCCTCCTTCCTGTTGGGGTAGTGGAGTAGGCAGCTGCTAGTTGGAGGTGGAAAATACATCTCCCTGGTTGACGTTCTCCACGAGTGGTAAGACATAAGAGCGCCGCCATCGCCACGTTACATGAGGTTTCTGTTGATTAATTTTCACGGCTGCGAGGAAGGGGAAGATGGGGGCTCAAGGACTGGGCGTTCTGCGTGGATACCTGGGTGACGGTCTTGGGCTTCATAACCACGGATAAGGGAGGTAAGTGACCGTGCAGGTAGTCGGCAGGTGGCCAAGGCTTACAAGGGAAGAGCTGACATAAGATGGATGCAGAGCTCTAATTAAGGCGCTAGGCACTCAGGCTGAAATTGATGCTTGTTCACCACTTGAAGGACTCATCATGATTTCGTGAGGACTCTGGTGAAGCCTGGGGTGTTTTCATTCAGCCGGGTGGCTAGGGTTGGGGGTGTATTCAGTCACGTGAGAGACTCATGGGACCGGAGGAGGATCCGTGTGGCTGGGCTTTGAATGAGGGTTGGGTGGACGGAGGAAGCTGCGCTTGCTGGGAGCACAGCAAATGCCGCGAACGTAGCGTGGGACCTTGGGTGTCTGAGATCTGCACATGGGGAAGGGGGGCGTTCCTCTTCCCTCTTCTGCTGCTTCTGGTTGGCCAGATGGTCAAATCAGCAAGAGACAGATTACAAGAGGAGGTCAGACTGACTTTCTTGCACGTGGGAAGTCCACATACATGACAGTTTCAGAGACAGAACGGGAAAATGGCATATGAGACGTTCTGAGCTAGTGACGGAGTGAGGCGCCTCGGGGCTCAGAAGGTCACTGCAGGAGAAGACCTGCTCAGTAATTAGTAGTTTGTCTTGCCATACAGGTAAGTCAAGAAGGGTGGTCTCTAAACATCCCTTATGGGCAGGGCTCCTCATTCAGATGCCTCTAAGATAGTTAAGGGGGTGGGGACAGAAGTTTCTCTTGAGCCCACAGGGTCTCAGTTGCCTTTAGGTCGTCATAATTTGCTCATTCTGAAGCCCCATACACGTGTGGCGCTCTGTGGCCAAGTCTGACTCAAGAAACGTAGCGAGACCACCACAGGATGATTTGGGGCTGCTCTCGCTAATGGGAATCTTGGAACTCTGTGGTGACATTGGATCCCGTTTGAATGTGGCAGGATTCTCTCTACGCCGGATGCTCTCTTCCAAGTTGCGTGGTTAAGTCCTAAAATTCAGGCCAATCCATGTGCTGCCTCAGTATGTGGTGAAACCAGGACACCCTCAGTTGGCCCTGGTGCCCGCTCCCTTCCACACTCTGCTCTCAGATAACGTCTTCTGGCCTCACAGCTGTCTTTATCGCGGGGAGCAGGCGCAGTGCTTGCTCATCGCTTTGAGTGGGTTTTAGTTCCCTAGGGGCCTGTAGAGTTAAATAAGTCAGCCACATGCTCCTGCAGGAATTGGGACATCGTGCCTTCTCAGTCCTGTAAAGACTGCCCCTGGTAGTTCACTCTTTCTAGAGTGTAGCCTTTATGTCATCTTGTGTGTCGTGTGGTGTCCTCCTCTCCCAGAATATATGAGATTAGTAAATGTCTGTTGATTGCATCTGTCCAGCGTCAGGTGTTAGGAGTTTGGCCACCCAGCTAGGGTGGGGATCACCCTCACCAGTGGGGTTAGAGGGGGTAATTGACATAGAAGTGTGTCGGGCATGGATTATCATGGCCGTGGGCACGTGGCTGTGGGATCTGGAGATATGAGATGCGCATTATCGAGAGTGATGCGTAGCTGGACGGGGAGCACGTCCGATGGTCTGGTGCTCTGCACTGAGAATTCCACGGCAGTGGCTCTGCCAGGGGAATCGCCTGTGGAGGGGTAGGTCCTCCTATGCTAGTCCCACTGCTTAGGTAGCTGTTTGTCCATCCGCCTTTGGCTGCCGATGGCTTTACCGTTACCAGCGGGCCCACGAAGAGACAGCAGCACCAGTAATTCCGTGGCCTGGTTTTTCCTCTGAGTTGGGGAGCCTAGGAGAAGGATGGGCGCACAGTAGATGTTGGAGGGGAAGGGATGTACTGCAGCTCCTCAGAGAGAGGCTGTTTGTGGTTTCATCTGTCCCCATCATGCCAGGGCAGTGTGACCTTTGAGGACGTGGCCGTGTACTTCTCCTGGGAGGAATGGGATCTCCTTGATGAGGCTCAGAGACGCCTGCACCAGGATGTGATGCTGGAGAACTGGGCACTTATAACCTCCTTCGGTAAGGTCTTCAGACTCACCCCTGTGCCGTGAGCTAGGCTCTGCCCTTCCCTTTGTCCCAAGAGCAGGTCTGTCCTCACATGGGACCCCGGGCACCGCTCCCTCCCCTCGTCCCCCAGGTAGGCGCCGTGGTTGGCTGGGCTGAGGTGTGTGCGCTGTCCTCTCCCTCCTCGAGCAGCCCCAGCACCTTCCCAGCCGTTACCCAGGGAAGGTCTCAGGGGCAGAGACGTTGCAGTCACCCTAATGGACCCCTCTTCTCCTGCCCTCACCCAGGCCAGGTAGCTTTGTCCAGACGAAAGGCACCTGAGGACCCCAGGTCTACTTTTTTTCCTCTCGCTGACATTTCCTCACGCCTGCCTGGGCTGAGAATGGCCATCACTGAATTGGTCACCACTCACGTAGACCATGGTCTGTTCTTACAAAAGTCTCCTCTGAAATTCTCTTTAGAACATTTAGGGTTTTATTTCTGTTGGCTGTCATGCGCTGAGTTGTTCTTGGCCAGTGCCGTCTGTCTTTCTGTGACTACTTACATCATCCAGGTCCCGTATATTTGACCATCTCGATGGGGGAGGGAAGAGGCCCTCAGTGGTCCACTGGCTGGATATGAATCCAGCCTCAGAAAGATGGGCTTAGCGGAAGCCTGGTCCTGAGTAGCACCCTGGGGGAGGGCACGATGTCAGCGCTGTTCAAATCATACCAGAAACCTGTTCTGTTTGACTAGTATTTTCGTACTAAAGCTTGGGACCACACACTATTTCTACATTTTCTTTCTCATTCTTGATACTTACTTGTCACCTCTATGCTTTGTCACTTCTGCACCTACCTTTAGCCCCTTACCTCTCTGGACTCTGTGTCTCACCCATTTTTCTCAGTGCTCCATCTGCAGCCATCTTCAATATTGGCTTACATGACTTGGATTCTGAAGCGTTTACCCATTCCTCACCGATAGCTGCTCTGTCGCAGTTTTATTTTGGGTGGCCTGGATATAGCCTTTTACATAGCACTCTTGTCACCAGCAAACAAAGTCC